CTCTTGCTCGGTCACTGGTAGTAAGAAACAAATCCCAGTTGTACTAAATACGACCACTCAGTAAGCAAAACCAGAAAGAGAGAAAGACTCTCCTTGTCATAAAAGGTAGTGATGTGCTTAAAGTTAAAATCATGTTTGCGAAAGGCTTTCCCCATTAGTTTTTGAGACTCTTGTGCTTAGTTGGTTGCTTATGATTTATGTGAGTAAGCCAGATTGTCCTCACGAGATACGCACCTCACTGATATGGTTAGATTCTCCTAATAACTGTTACACCATAAGTTATTAATGACCCACTACCGACGACCTAAATTGCGTGATTGCTAATTGAGTTTTGATGGATTTGAGTAAGTCAATGGCAAAGAAATTGAGTGTGGGGTGAAAGGTATGATCATTAAAGCACAACGCATCCATTGAGAAAGAAACTGCTGATTATCACAAGAGTACAAGAGTAAATTTCTGGTGTTGATGTTGTGTGTCGTGAGTCGTGTGTTTTGAGCTAGGTTGTGTCACCGTGGTGTGTGTTGTGTTTCCTCCAATTACTGTTCTCTTGCCTGAGTTGTTGCTTAGGGACAAGCAAAAATTGAGTGTGGGGTTGTGATAATCGACTGTAACATATGGAATTCTTGAGCTTTATGTGACTACTCCATGATATGTTTGAGTCGATTGGTGCTATTTTAGAGTGAACTAACCCGAGAATGGTTGAAAAACCATTACTATCTAGTGCCACGAGTTTGATGTACTGCAGGTGAAGAAACTACGAAATAGGAGAAATTACACAGGCAGACATACGGGTTAGAACAATATTTGAAAGAATAATGGGCCGAGCGCTGCGTTTAGGGGAGCAACAATAATTGGGACGGAAGCTTTGGGGATTTCGGTTGTGAAGGAATTAGCTGGGTGGTTGATTTATGTTTTTTAGGCCCATCTTTTTTGTCTTCTGGGGAGGAGAGTGGACCAGAATTAAAAAAAGGGCCTGGGATGAAATTTCTTTGGAATTGGACAGGGACGAGGGGGAATTAATTGGAAAGAAAGAGGGAGGCAGCTTGGTACGGGACGGATTGGCGAGAGAGAGCGGGCAGCAGCTTGTTGGAGACGGAATTCTTTTTGGGCGAAGCAAGTTCCGGGAACGAGACGAAGGACAGCAGCGTCGCGCGAAGCTCGAAAAAGAAGCAGAATTCTTCGAGTAGCGGATTGCGAGACAGCGAGCAGGGGAATTAGCGAGTGGACACGGATCATCATTATTCTAGTAGCATTTCTCCTTTTCCCTTGATTAGTTTCGTGATCAACAAAAACATGAATATACCTTTTGATTTCGTCATGAACTAAACCCCAATTTTTGGGGGAAACACCTTAGGATGTAGCTATTTCTGAATTTGATGGATTAATTCATATTTCTTTTCTTTCAATCTCTATTACATGAAATTGCTTAAAGCTTTGTTGACTGGCCACCAATACAATGATTTGTAGCTAATTAGGTTATTAGCGATAGTGAAACCCTAATAACTGAACATATGTCATGTGACATAGTAACTTATCGAAGCGACAATGGATTAAATAAGGTGCTATGCGGTCTTGATTGGGATATCGGTCTTAAGGCTAAATAATTAATTCATCGAGCTACGACAGTAGGATTTGAATTGATTATTTAGTACGTAGTATTTCCCGACAGGGATAGCTAACACAGTAGAGATATCCTGGCTGTAGAGAATTGGATTAAACTGATTAGAATATGTGAATTAATTTGGATATGATAGGTAGCGAGTCCTGGTGTCTCTCCCAGAGCTTTCTCCCATTGATTCCAACCCGACAATTTTAATTTGCTTATTTTATTTAATTATTTTGCCATTAGATAATAGTTTCATCTATCCAATCATTTTCACCTATAGTTTGCTCTATAGAGTTGATAGAATATAAGGTTGTACCAGTCCCTGAGAGACGATGCCCGGACTTCCCGGTTTTATTACGAGATAGGAATTGAAGCATTACGTTTTTGCCTATCAAAGAGTAAGAATGGTTGGGGAAAATAGAGATAAATGACAACTCATTGTCTTGTTGATGACTCGAAGGAGTTGCAAATGTCTAGTGCACCACCCGGTACGAGGCAAGCCAACATGTCCAGTAAGGTGGCTAAGGCAAAGAATCATGGAGCCCCTTGCAAGCCAACCAAGGCAGGGCATGTTGAGCAGGTACAATCCGTTGTTAAGTTGGAAAATTTGAAAGTAACACCAAAAGTGTGGTCTTCCTTAAAGGTGGGAAGAAATGTGGTGTATGGATGGCTGATCAAGTTTGAGCAGTGGGTGTACACATTGGCACATTGGTGGTTGCCGGGTATTAAAATCAGTGACATATGTCACTCCTTACTACATTAAAATAAATAAATAAATAAATACTAGTAAAATAAGAGAAAAAGCCAATCAAGGCTAAAAAAAGAAGTTAGAGTTGTAACACTTGCGATGTGAAGACTTTGCCATGACTGGTAAACAACGAGTCATGTAGTTGGATCTATGTAGCCCCTTACACTCATTTGATTGGTGGGTACACCATGCTATTTCATGGCATGAGTAGGTAACTAGGTGATCGGTATGGATCGTTTAACTTTCTTGCCACCCTTCTAAGGATGGCTACTTGTTGAAAGAGGATGGGGTGATACATGATTAATTGATCAATGTTGAGTGTCTCAGCCCCTATTTCTCTTTGGAATGTGGGATGTCAATAGATTCAATGCTAACCGGTCATCATGATGGTTGTCTTTCCACACCTAAGGAATGACATGAAATCCTCTTGGTGGATATAGCTTGCATAGATAGTCATGGCACAGAGGGTTGGATTGGAAGCATAAAGAAACAAAACATTGGCGAGCTAGGACAAATGGGAGATTATGGGGGGGGGGGGGCGTTATTCCCCTACAAGCAACCACCAAAGGCCGAATGCGATATCGAAAAGGAAATTAGAAGCTTTAGCCTCCTTCTTGTTTACGTTCAACCTCTTAATCCATTTTTGAATTAACAAGCCAAGAAGAGCTAGTTTGGCTAATAGTAGCCAAGGAAAAGGCAAAGGGGTTGCTTTGAACACGAGAGGTGATGGTGATTCAATGGGTTTTGTTTAAAGCCAAATTATGGCTGCATGAGAAGAAAGGATATCATGCTTTTCGTTGGCTTTTCAAAATGCCAAATTTTGACTAAGTACACAACGCGATGGGTTTTTTTATTATAGTTGGGACAACAATAACCATCTCGAAGAGAAAATAATTGACGGCATGGAGTCCTTAACGCAGATTTTGGCCAAGGTGGTAACGAGATAGTGTTAAACTTTACCACGGTTCAACAACTTAGTGCATAATACTTATACACTAAGTTGTGTGGGCATTTGTTTAAACCTAAAAATTAATCTCATACCACATCGATTAATTACAAGGGACTAATGGATTTATAAGGCCAGCTCAACATTAATCATTAAATTAGCCAGCTGAGTCTTATTAGGTTTCTGGGCCTAAGTAGCAAAGCCACCTAACCCTGGCCTAGTGGTTGGCCGCCCCTATAGCCCAGAAGATGCCTCCGACCCGTTGATATGTAATATGGCTCTAAAAAAACTAAGGGCTTGTTTGCTTGTTGGATTTGAAAATGAAGGTTTTGAGTTTTGAAAACCTTTGGATTTATGATGGATTTATTGCATTTTGTATTTGAAACATAACATTGTTTGTTTAGTTGATTTTGATCATGGATTTAAAGATTTTTGTACCATGGCTCACATATCCTTGCCTTCCATGACCAAATACCAAATCAAATGTGGTTTTGCAAATATGTGAGGTCCACGGATTTGGATATCTCAACAACGGTAGCAAGGAAATAACGATACCAAGTCACCAAATCCATAGGCCCCACAGATTTGTATATCTCAACAACGATAGCCAGGAAATAACGATACCAAGTCACCAAGAGGGTACCAAGCCGACAAGGCAGACCTGATACCAAAACATATGAAAATTGGCTAAGTAACGAGGCAAAAGGGTACCAAGCCGGCAAGGCAGGCCTGGTACCCAAATATGAAATTTGGCTAAATATGCAACCTCGAGGGTAGAGACTTGTCAGCCAAGGTACCAAGCTGACAAGGTATCAACTTGATGGAGAATTGATGTAGAGCCCCTTAAGGGGTCATATGGAGACTAAGTCCCAAGATGGGCTTGGTGACCCCGGGTACCAAGCCGGCGGGGTAACGATGTACCAATTGATGACATTCTAAAAACTAAGTATGGAGACCAAGCCGGCAAGGTTGGCTTGGTAGCAGGGGTCGATCCGGCCGCAATTTCAATTCGGATGGCCCCAATCCTGAGAAAAGAGGGGTTTATATATGATTCATTACCGAGATATGGTAATGATTCTCACTGTTTATCTTTGTTTTCTACTGTTAGGGTTGCTTTTGTGTACTGATGGTGAGTGATGTATTGTGTTGGCTTTGGATGGTCTTGTGTGCATGGTGGAGTTTTCACTTTATTTTTTGGCAGCTTGTGAGCAAATGCTCCTTGTCATTTTGCGTTGCTGGTGTTAGATTCCTTCAAGTTTACTTGTGGTTTTAGTTTGCACAGGGTGTTACTTGTGGTCCCAAAAGTTGGATGAGTTGCATTAAAGAAACCTTGCTTTGTCTGTCATTGGAAGAATCACCTCTAAAAAATGTTTAAAATTGAAATCTGAGTTTGTTTATGCAAAGTACATGTGTTTTGTAAATGCCAAATGTGCTGTGACCTTTTTGTTCTTTTCAAACACAGAAAGAACAGGTTGTGGTCCTAGTTAGTTTCTTTAAAGGAAGAGTTTAGCAGTTAGTTTGGGTTTATTGTTTTCATTTTGTGGCCCCATTATCTTTTCCCTTTGAAAATGTCTTTTTATCAATAGCTCATGGATTCCAATGCTTGTTTTGGTTAATTCTATTTTCTAATTAAATATGGATGCTTAATTGTTTAATATGTGTTTGATATAGGAATCTATGAAGACCAATTCACCATAGAAATGCATTATGATGGGCATGTGGATAGCCCAAATGAAAATGGTTGTTATGTGGGAGGGAAAGTAAAGTATTGGGATTATGTTGATCTTGATTGTTTATCAATCCTGGAGCTAGATGGACCTCTTACTGATGTGGGATATCTCTTGCAAGTTGAGACTAAAGACATTAAAGAATTTAGAATCTTGAATGGGTATTCATACTATTATAAAGTGGATGCACATAATATGAAAGAAGGTCTGGTGGAGTTGAAGAGTGACAAATAATTGCTGGCTATGGCCATTGGATTCTGGTGTGATTGGTCCACACAGATCTGCATGAAGAAGTTGAAGCTTCTGAGTAGCTCTCCAGTTACTCTTCTTTGGAAATGGATGCCTGTGTTGCTTGCCTTTCATGCAGGTTGAGCAAATTCCAATGCTGCCTTTGAGCTGAGGTAAATCCTGAACCGACTTCTTTTTCTGCAGCAGCAGGAGAGCTTGAGAGTTCAAGTGTCCAAACCTCATGTGCCAGAGTTCCAGGGAGGTTTCCTTTCCTGTTCCAGTGTGCAAGCATTGAATTTCACCAATCTTTGAAGCAGCATGTATCACAAACATGCGATTTGTCTTCATGCTGGTCTGCAACAGCAAACCATTGGTTTTGTGACATACCTTGCAGCTTCCATCACGAATGACAAAGGTAAGATTCCTTTCCTGCAACTGTCCCACACTTAGCAAATTTGTCTTCAAGCCTGGAACATAGAATACCTCTGTGATGGTTAGAGAAACTTGATCCATGATCAATTTCACTGTTCCCTTCCCTACTGCATTCAGCCTTGTGTCATTTCCAAGTCTCACACTTCCCTTGAAATTGGAATCCATGTCTGTGAACCAATGCTTGTTCCCAGTCATATGGTTGCTGCATCCAGAATCAAGAAACCAACATTCTTCACCTGTCTTTTCTTTTTCTCCAGCTCTTGCAAGATCAGCATGAGCCATTAACAGCATGTCTTCTTTGAACTCTTCTGATCTGTTGGTTGAGGAGTTGGTTGAAGAGTGAGGCCTGGAGTACTGAGCATTTGAATAATGAGCCTGCTCAGAATACCATTCTGGACACTCATATTTGAAGTGACCAAGCTTATGACATTTGAAACATTCCAGATTATCTCTATTCCAGCCTCTTCCCCTTCCTCTTCCTCTTCCCTGATAGAATCCCCTACCAGAACCTCCTCGACCACCTCTTCCACCAGCATCATATCCAACTCTCAGAGCCTGATCCTCTTCAGCAGCAGATTTCTTATGGAACTTCTGCTCATGAACAATCAAAGAGCTCTGAAGAGTATCCACTGTCAGTGTCCTTTGATTCTTCAATTGAACAGACTACATAATTAAACTTCTCAGTTAAGGTCCTGAGGATTTTTTCTACAATCTGACCATCTGTCATGTTCTCACCACAGTTTCTCATTGAGTTTGCAATCACAATGACTCTTCCAAAGTAATCAGTGATAGTCTCACCTTCTTTCATCTCAAGCAACTCAAAACTTCTTCTTAAACCTTGCAACTGAGCCTTTTGGACTCGAGCACTTCCTTGAAACTTGACCTTCATTGCATCCCATAGCTCCTTGGCTGTTCCCTTGTTTGTGATAGTCTTGAGAATTGTTCGATCAATGGCACTGAACAAATAGTTTTTAGCTTTCAGATCTTTCAACCTTAAATCCTCCAGATTCTTGGATTCAACAGCTGAAAGTACAGCATCTGCAGCAGGTTCTGAAAACCATCCTTCACCACATTCCAGTACTCTTTTGATCGCAACAGATTCTCCATCACAACACTCCAGTGATCGTAATTACCATCAAACTTTGGGATGCACACCTGTGCAAAACTCTCATTCTCACCCATCTCAGATCCCTCTTTTGCCTGAGAATATTACTCACCCCTTTTAATCAATCTCACTCACTATCACTCGTGTTTCCCAGATGATACCCCTGACCTGCAATCAGACTTGCAGAACCTTTCACTCAACACCACGATTCAATCTCTCACTCTATTTCTTGGTTACAGTTCGCAGAGCTCTGATACCACAATGTAGTCTCTTTTGGAGCAAACTGACAGTTTATTGATTTGGAAAACTAAAGGATTAAATACAAGAGTCTTTGGCCTCTGACCTCGACCTTCAACTCAACCCACTAACCCCGTGATTCCAGCTCCCATGACTCAACTAACAACCTATAAATCAGCTAACTTAACAACCAAGCATCCTGCAATGCTTAAGACTCACATGGACTCGATTGACACTAAACAGAAATACAGGGACTAAAACAGAACTAAGACAGACTGGACTCTCAAGTAAAACGACAGCCGTTTTACTCTCTTATTTGAACCTTAAACTTCCCGCCCCTAGCCTTCAATCCTTCTCCTACTCGAATTCGGATTCACCACCCTTCTTCTGCCTGCACTTCAGCTCACAGTATTGAAGCCGGCGAGTGCAAGGCACAATGTGTAACATCCCGTTCCGGTAAAACCCATATTTCGATCGCTAGAAATTTTACGATTTAAAATCGAGTGTTTTAATAGTATTTCGACGAAAATCGGATTATCGATCGGATAAATACTAACTACTATAAATAAATATACTAATACATATTAATTAATTTATTTATATATATATATATATATATATATCAATTTGCCACACACCTACTTGTGTGTCTCCGGGAGAGAAATGGCTAGGGAAAACAAAACAAAAAAATAATAATAAAAGAGGTGAAGCAGCTAGGATAAGTACCGCCCCACCCCCACCATTCCATTTATATATGCATCTTTCTTTTCCTTCGGTTCCATTATCGCATTTTCATAAACCGAGGGACATAGAGTAGGAACAGGGGACGTCCGGGAGGAACTCGCTAAGCTTGATTCCAGGGTTTTAACTCTCCAAAAATTCCAAAATCGGTTTGTAACCCCTCTCAGTATCTTAGTTCATTAATCTAAGGATTTGGAGTGAAGCTTCGGTTAAAGAAATTCTTGATTTTACGTTAGAAGGAATCGAGGTTCTGAAGAATCCGAAAGCCGGATTGAGCCCGAATTTCATATACGAGCTTCCTGCAGCGAGGTAATCAATCCTCTAGTTCTAATCCATGAATGTCGGCTATTATTTAGGTCGGAACCGGGATCGCTGAATTTAGCTCCGGCCAGGGTTTGATGTGTTTTTATCGAGAATTTGACCCGGAGCCTAGAACTAATATTGACGGGGATACTGCAGGGGATATAAGGACGGTCTCGGATTTTAATTCGGGGTTCGTTCGTGAAATTGACGTTTTAGTACGGGAGGCTAGAACCGGTGTTTGAACGACCAGAACTGGTGAGGGATTAGCACGGCATACCGGGTTTGTCGTATCATGATAATTATATTGATGCTTAGAATTGACCTAGGTGAATTAGAATGGCATGATTAGGGGTGTATGGACTTTTGTGCTATATGATGAACCCTGGACTGTTGTATGATATTATTGACTTGCCCTAATCAATATGGACCTGGTTTATGCTGATGATTGTGCATATGTTGCAAATTGTGGGCTTGACTGTTGATATACCTTATAATGGTTCGAAAAGGTGATTGGGTATGATTTTTCATGATTGTTGTATTTGGATGCATATGTGGGAAAATATATATTCTCTGGTGATATTATGATGTTTAAGGAGGATGACTTGCACGAGGGTTTATCCCGAGGAAGTGCAATTATACGACTCCTGATTTACCTATGTTGAGCCAATTGTGGCCGGGTCAAGTACATGTGTAAGTAACGAATTATGATTAAGCAAGATGAGATATGGATCATGTATAAGGACATCAAGTAAGAGTGATTTGGTCTCATGGTCAATTACATAGTAATTAGGGCTCCCCATGCTATTACTCCGTTATGATATGTTATGTCACACCCCTGATGTGGTGTTGACCGTTGATTCATCATGAGATATGACCACACCCAGAGTGGTGTTGAGTCCGATATGACCACACCCAGAGTGGTGTCAGGTCCGATATGACTACACCGGCAGTGGTGGGTCCGATATGACCACATCCACGAGATGTTTGGTCCGTATTCCCGGGAGAGTAATTAGCATGGGAGTAGCCAGGCGCCTATAAGTAAAACATGATATGATGCATATGCATAAGTCAAGGTGGTTGAGTCTTTTGCCCATTGGGATATGGGGATGGCTGAGGTCCGATCCTAGTGTTTTGGTTTGATTGGTAGATGTATGGTAGGGGTATGCTCTGTTATGAACTCACGATGCTATGATTATCTCACTCAGCTATGAGCTGACCCTCTTTATCCTTTTTCTCTGCTTATGCCATGTGTAAGCAGATCATCACCAGCAACAGCAGTAGATAGGTGTATAGGTGGGAGTTGAGCAAGAGTTGAAGGCAAGATGAGGTATGGTCTTCAACTATTCTCTGCTTGGACTACTACTCGGGATTTTGGCCAGTGATCCACACCTTTTTGTAAAAATGTTTTGAGAACGTTTTTCATGTGCATACTAGCTTCTGATGAAGTGTGAGATATCCACAGGTGTGGAAAGTTGATTATATGTGTATATTGTGTAATTATGTAAGTTGTGATGATTATAGCATGTATCAGTATAGTATGCAGTTGTGTAGTATGAAACTGTGACTATGGCTATGAAAAGCCAATTCATATGGTTGTGAGTATATATGTTTGTGATGAATTATTTTGCAGGATAAGTTGCAAGAACTGTTAGCCCATTACGCGAGTAATTCATGTCTAAATTTTATTTGGGTAAATTTTGATAATTAGTGTAGCACCCGAGATTAATTCCGCTGCAATTGTATGAACAATATGATTAGGTAATACGTATGGGGTAGGGTGTTACACAATGATACTCCCTGACCCAAGAGCAGTGCGCACCACACTCTCCCACTGATGCTAAAACTGCCCATAGCTCTACGGGATCAAACTACAGAGGTTCCTCTTTTTGGTGGGTATCGAATTTATTAAGGCAATGACTGCATGAAGAAGAAAGAGCTTGATGGCTGACCAATAATTGGGCATTCTCTTTTTTCCGGGGCCCCATTGAGAGAGTGAAAGATGACAGACAGAGTGAGATTGATAGTTGAGGTGCTTTGCCGGTGACATGGAAGCAGGAGCACCGCAAAAGAATTGAATTGAGGGAAGACCGGTGGGGTAGGAACTAGGAATACTAGGTTGGGGGATAGGAATCGTCAACGATATAGAAGACAATTAGCTGATGGAAAATAGGTACCACTGAAATTAATTGCTTAATAGTCACATAAAATACAAATCGAGATAGTACTAATTGAAACCGACACCCAATAAATACAATTAACTAGCGACAGAGGAAGACAGGAAGTAGTCGTAGATTTGTTTGATGGGCAGAAGCCGCCGACGGCGCTGCATCAGTCGTCGACGATGAGGATGGCAAAACAGAGGCCCATCAGAGAGGGCAGATGCCGTTCTAACTGAGCCACGCATCGATGCATTGCTTATGATAAAAATGGCGCTCGCTCCGATCTCCCGCCACCGCCGCCGCCGTGCGTTTCTTCTCCTCCGCCAGCGACCTCGAACTTGAGAATCTCGTTCTCGCCTACAATGACTCGCGGGCCCGGCGTTTGTGTCCAGCAGAGGGTCAAGTACAACCCCATCGCCGGCAAGGGAATCAGTAGCACTTCCAAGATGATTGGAATAGGGCCGGCACATGATAGTTATTGTTGCCGAACTTTTGTTTCTTGCTCTTGAACAATTAAATAGTAACCAGCGGTAACAACGTTGCGGCGGGTATGCCGGCGGCAGAAGAGTGACGGCGGTTGGTTAGTAAATAGTAACTAGATACTAGCACAGGACCCGGCCCGTTGACGGAAGAATTTTGTCGAGAAATATGATATATAATAGATGATTTGAAATGCATAAAATTATTGTTTTCTTTCTACCTTAGTTATGCACATAACATTTTTGAAAGTGATCCAACTATGCATAATATGTTTAGATCTTCATGAAAAGAGAAAAAAAATATAATATAAGTATTCCTTATAATTATTGAATGAAAAAAGAAATAAAAAGAAATAATTATCATTTATTACTTAATTAAACCATATAGTTGAATATTAGAGTTGTTTCTCATAATACATGTTGGCGGAGGTCGAGCGCGAGACCGAACGGGATTTGCTTGTACTTTCTTTCTGAAAAATCAAAACCCTAGAACAGGACTTGTGATAGAATGGTGAAACTGGTTTGCGAATGAATGAAAGGCGACGAAGAGAAAGTATTCAATCTATGATTAGAGAAGAAAATGAGTAATGGGCATGTTTGTTCTGTTTTCAAGTTTCGGCCGAGTAAAAGGATTTTGCAGGCCCTGTACTTAAAGCCCTTAACCCAGACAAACAAAGACGAAGAATAATGCTTCTTCTTCTCCAACTCTTCGACTCAGGGACACCTTCCATGTTCCAAGCAGAACTCAAGAACACACATATAGATTGTTAGTCAAAATGAAAAACGAAAACAAGTAAATGACACAGAGAATTTTTACTTGGTATCCAGTACAGGGAGAATAAGGATCCCTGTACTGACTAATCCACTGTTGAAGAATCTCTTCTTGAGATCTTCAACGTATGACTAATGACTTGGTTCTGCAAGTTTCCTGTTACAATTCTGAACAGAAACTCTCAGCCTCCTGCTGGTAAATCACCCTAACCAGATTGAACTCTCACTCAAGACTGCAAGACAGTAACCTAGTCAGCTAAGCAATCACTGTGACCAGCTCTCTTTTTCACAACAAGAACTCTAGCTAATTCTCAGCTCTTCTCTTCTTGTTCGATTGAAAAGGGTGAGGTTGCTGGTCCATGATACGTCCCTTTATACTTCTGTTTTCTTCAACGTCTCTTTTAGGAACTTTCTATCTTTGACTTGGGAGTACAAATGGTAGTGTATCACGTCTTGATTTCTTTCCAAATCAACCATTTGTACCGTTTGAGTTGCTTGATCAAGGTCATTGACCGAGCTTCCTTCAACATGCTCCCCCTAAGCTTGTCAATGGCTCCTTGACTGCTGCTTCCAGAATATACTTGCATCAACTCAGCAAACAAATCGGTGCAGCCTGTTCTACAAGAAGGATTCAATTTCTACTCAAGATGCAACTTTATTCATTAGAGAAATTGAGAAGCAGTACAGGGAACAGCTAGGACTGCTTTTTGTTCTAGATAACTTAGACCTAGAAACTAGACAGAAGTCTAAAAGGGGTAGTGAGGAGGGGAGTCATAATCTGAGATGTCCCCAAATTCTTCAGGTTCTTCGACGGCTTCGTCCTCCTCCCTGATACTGGATGAGCTTGCTCCCCCTCCATCTCTGAAGAGTTTCAACCGAGTAGACAGAGATGTCAGAGTATTTACAGGAATCTTCCGTTTCCCTTAAGATTTTCACTGGAGAAACCAGTTAGCTCGCGATCGACAACCACCTCAGCAGCAGACACTAGAGCTTTGACCAAAGCAGCAACCTCTCCCCCTGAGCCAGTGAAAGGCTTGCGGGGTCCAACGCTGGCGTCGCGACGAGCTAGAACATGTTGCGCTTTCAGATCATCATGAACGTTGCAGAGTGTGACCTTGTCACGAAGATCAACTCCTAGCTTCCGAAGCAGCTGGGTGATGAGAGGTGCCAGAGGCAACTAGCCATCATAATTGTCATCTCCATACTTAACAAGATGGCAGAAGACCAGGGATGCATAGCTGATAGGCTGGACAGAGCGTGCATGATGGAGGATCCAGAGATCGGACGTGTGCAGTAGGGTGGCACTTGATAGAGACCTGGGAAGAAGGATCCGATTGATGAAAAAGTGGAGGACACGCATATTATCGGGAAGACGCCTAACAGCAAGTTTATTGGGAAAATATCGACCAATATCATGCACTAGTGAGTTATGGACATGATGGTAGTTGAAATCGTAGTCATGAAACTGCCCATCATCACCTGCCTTGAGACCGTTGTGTGGCAACCCTAGTTCGCTGGCAAGCAGGTCAGCAGTGACTATGATCTCAAGGTTTCCTACCGTGGTTTTGAAGGAATAAAGATCAGGGTCAGATCCACGTTTGAGGTTCACATAGAACAACCTCACAGCCTCGGGGCAATAGGTGAACTGTTGATCTTCAAACAAGGACTCCCAACCAAGGTTGCGAATAAAGGCAGATATATCCATGTCGTACCTTGAAAAGGCAGACGATTGGATGGTGAAGGAAGGATAGATAGCACGATCACGGAAGCGTCGTACATATCGAGAGAAGTCTTTATCCTTTCTGAATACCTTGTTGGAGAAGGTAACAGCAGGATGGAGCTGAGGGTTGTTGAGCACCATGATGAAGGTAACTTTTTGAGAGAAGATGTTTGTGTTTGGAACGAGGATGAGTGACTGAAGGGTCCCAAAGTCTGAGAGTCTTATAGGGAAGACGAGAGGGAACATGGTAAGTTGCCAGAAGAATTAGAATCCATTAGCAGATCAGGAAAAGGAAAGGAAGATCAATTAGAGGGCAGAAGAAGTAGGAGAATGGTTTACTGAAAATTAGGCAGATCCTGGAGAGAGAATAGCCCTAATTCTCGCCTGATATGCAGAAACTGATCAGCTAGCATGGGTTTAGTAAAGATATCAGCCCATTGACTCTCTGTTCTAATAAAATCAAGGTGTATCTTACCATCCTGGACTAAATCTCGAATGAAATGATATCGGACTTCAATGTGTTTAGTCCGAGAATGTTGAATAGGATTCTTAGACATGTTTATAGCGCTGGTATTGTCACAGAAAATAGGTAGAGATCCTAAGGAGATTCCATAGTCAATTAGCTGATATTTCAGCCAAAGCACTTGAGTGCAACAGAATCCAGCAGCTACATACTCTGCTTCCGTAGTAGATAGCGCTACTGAGTTCTGCTTTTTGATGAACCAAGAAATGAGAGAAGACCCGAGGAAATGACAAGAACCAGAGGTGCTTCTACGATCAATCACGCAGCCTGCATAGTCTAAATCTGTGTAGCTAACTAAGTCTAGGCTAGAATGCTTAGAATACCACAGTCCTAGGTCAGGAGTTCCAGCTAAATAGCGGAAAATTCTCCTGACAGCAGATAGGTGACTCTCTTTATGCTGACTTTGAAAACGAGAACAAACACACACACTATACATTATATCTGGACGAGTGGCTGTTAAGTATAGTAGAGAACCTATCATCCCTCTAAAAAGCTTATGATCAACGTTAGTACCGGTTTCATCTTTTGATAGTTTAGTTGAAGAACCCATGGGAGTAGGGGCAGACTTTAGGTTTCCAAAATTAAAGCGTTTCAGCATGTTATGAAGATATTTACTTTGACTTATGAAGGTTCCCAAATTGGTTTGTTTAACTTGTAGTCCAAGA